CGTTGATGGAATAACTTTCCCTAAACTAATTAATAAGTGGGACACAATCGATTACCAAAATAGTAGCTGGAATAGTAAAGCTATCAATTCTCTCTTTTGCGCTGTCACACCTGAAGAGTTTAGTCGTATTTGCAATTGTGAAGTCGCAAAAGAGGCTTGGGATATCTTACAAACTATTCATGAGGGCACTCCTTTTGTTAAACGCTCAAAACTTCAAAGGCTCATGTCTAGTTTCGAAAACCTTTCAATGAAAGATAGTGAGATCTTTGATGAATTTTATGCGAAGTTGAGTGACATTGTAAATTCCAGCTTTAATTAGGTGAAAAAATACCAGAATCCAAAGTTGTGGGAAAAATTTTGAGATCCTTGCCCGATCGGTTCCAACCAAAAGTTACGGCTATTGAGGCGGCTCAAGATGTTGATAACCTCAAGTTAGATCATTTGGTTGGAAATCTCCAAACTTATGAAGCACATAGAAATTTCAAAAAGAAACAAAAAGATACTATTGCTTATAGTAGTGCTTGTAGAGTTGGAGAAGATTCTGATGAGGACTGTGAGATAGATTCCAAAATTACAGATGCTTTTGTAAAACAATTTAAAAAATCTTTTTTGAAAAAGAATCCTAATCTTTTGGACTCTACTCATACTCATAAATTCAAAGGCAAAGATAAACTTAAAATTAATTCTATAGCCAAGAAGGAGAAAGAAAAGATACAAGGGAACTCTGAAAGAGTCTAATGCTATGAATGCCAAGGATTTGGCCACTTTGCTTCAGAATGCCCCACTCGTTTGAAGAAGAAGAAAGCCCTCACCATCACTTGGGATGATGCATCAGAATCTGATGAAGATGAAAGTGACAATGAAGATCAAGGCGAAGAGGGACATAAACAATTCATTGTTTTCATGGCGGTTTTCGAAACTAAATGATGAATAGAGTATCCGAAGAGCCCGGCTGAGAATGCCACTGATGATGAATCCTCGGGAAGTAATAATGAAGAGCTTGAGCAAGCTTATGAAAAGTTGTATAAGGAATCTCTTAAGTTATCCAAATTAAATGACAAACTCACTATGAAACTCAAAGCATGTGAAAGTGAGAATGTCAAACTAAAGGAGGAGATTTCCGAGGCTAGGATTGATGCCGTCAAGATAGCTAATGATCGATAAGCTCTTTGTGCAAAACTCTTGACTTGTGAGACAGAGAGGAATGAGCTACAGCAAATCTATGCAACATATGAAGAAAAAATTGAAACTCTCGAGATGTCTCAAGTTGTTTTAAAAGAACTAATAATCAAGAAAGAGGAAGAACTCAAGTGTGCTATGGCTACCATTGGTCTTTGGAACAAAGGATCAAAGACTTTGGACAATATCATTGGGTCTCACAAATTTGTTTCACTAAGAGTGCATTGGCTTTGGTGAAACAAAGAGCAAAAACAGAATGCATCCACATCTCATGTTACAAGAACTCAAGGAAAGGGAGAACAAAAAATTCAACATAAGGATGGACTTCTCAAACTTCCTAGAGTTGGTAAGGTAAAAGAAAAGAAGGTACACCCTGTTTTTATTTGTCATCATTGTGGTATGCATGGTCATATTCGCCCTTATTGTTATAAGTTGCATGTGAGAGTGTCTCAAAGAGATGGAAGAAATTCTAACATCTCGTGGGGTAAGAGACACTTCATTGGTGGTAATGAGGTTGAGAGTCATATTAGACCTCGTTATTTTGATTTTCTTAAGACCAAATGTGAACAGAGGTTTTGTTTGTCTAAAGCTAGGAATAGGAAGTTGGACACCAAGTCTAGACGGGTTCCCATTGAAGGGAAAGGGAACCGTAACGTCAAGACACCATCAAAGAACCACAATTTTTATAACTTTCTTCATACTAAAGCGGTTTGGGTACGAAAACTTGACTTGTGTTAATTTGTTTATTTGTTTTTGTTTTAGGGTCTCTGTGTGTTTTTTTTTAATGAAAAAAATTGTGTGCTTGTTTGTTTTCTGACATGTTTTGTTTTAAAAAAAATGTGTGCATGTTCATTTTACGTCTTATTTTGTTTAGAAAAAAAAATGAAAAAAAAAAACCCAAAAAGATTTTCTTGGTATGGTTTTGCAAGCTTGAAATTTTTGAGTGGTCCTTGGTGCATATTGGAATTGATGAGAATATCCATTACATGTTAATATGTGTGTGCTTTCTGTGGTCATTACTCATTTTGGAGTGTGTGTTTTTTTATTAGTATATCTCATTCTGTACACACTCTTGGATTAGCAAATATCGGAGTCTTCCGCCTTAGTGATCTTTTTTCTTTATGGACTTCTGGCATGGTATCTTTTGTTTTTCTAGAGGAATTGACCTATACTAGCATATCATAGGTGATGTTGAGTCGCTTAACCACCTTCTATCTTTTTGCTTCTCCACGGCTTTCCTTTCTATTCTTTGTAGTCTAGGCATGAGGAAAAGGCTACCTTAGAGTCACCAACCAGGCCATCCTTATTATATCCATGCTTCTCTGGTTCGGTTTCTATACTCTTGAGCGTGTCAGCCGCCAATGAGTGTGCAAAAGAAAGAAACAAAGAAAAAATGTACAAAAGAAAGAAAAGAAAAAGATGTGAAAAAAAAATAAAGGAAAAAATAAAGGATTCATTGATTGAGGGGGAGCCTCCGCCTTTACTCACCAAATACCCCTTGATTCCTAGTGGTTTGACTTTCCTATAGTTGTGCTTAGATTCTCTTGTTGGAGGTCCAGTTTTTAGATTACTGCTAGGATTTAAATCTTGTGTTTGTCGAACTCCAAGAGTCACACACACACTTTTATCATGGGATCTATGCTTTTCACATAATGCATCACTTTCTTTCATGAGGAATCTGTTATAGACTGTGCACATTGTGTTTTCAAGTAATTGTGTTTCTTGGATAATCTTGTGTGTTCTAAGGTACATATCTGAGATTTCTTACTTGCTCCACCATATTATTTTTGTCGGTTTCTTCTTGTTCATTGTTTTCTGTACAGTGTTTGTGGTTGCTTTGAGTGAAAGGGGGATTGGCTTTAGTTGGTTTGCATGATGCTATGCACTGCTTCTTTATTATTTCCTTCTTGCATGCTCTTGATATTTACATAATCTTATCATTGCTTGTGTGGTTTCTAATCTTGTTTTAGTTGTTTGAGCCTCCTTTGTCAATTTGTGCCAAAAGGGGGAGTAATGTTGTCGGGTGCATATGTCTTAGTTTTCAGGTTTTCATGCTACATGTTTTTAAAATCTCCAAGTTGCATCTATTCATGTTTTCAATCTCATGCTTCAAGATAATCTAGCTATATGTTTATTGTTTTTTTTTTCATATACTCTTGTGGGACTAATAGTTGTTTTGGAAATTGTGGCATTAATAGTTGTTTTGCAGATCCTGACCGTCAGAAAGAAATTTGTTTTTGTTGGCTGTAATGAGTTGGGGTGTTTAGATTTTCTTTGTTAGAGGTGTTTTGTCACGGCATTGCCAAAAGGGGAGATTGTTAGGTTTTTATTTTTGGCAATCCCATTTGACAAAACTCCTTTCAGTTGTGATTTTATTCGCTCTTGTATTTCAGTGAGGAAATGAGTTTTAGATGCGAATCCAACCCGAATTGTGCCTTGCAGAGAAATTTGTGATGTTAATACTTTCAAGATTGCCACTTCGTTGATTATGACAGAGATTGAGCTGCCCGGTCAGCTCGCGGAAGTCCAGGGGCAGCACCCCTTGGCGGGTCCAGGGCAGTGCCCAGGCGGGGTCGAGAGGCAGCGCCCCCGAAGCAAAATGCAAAATTCTATTCAAAGTTGCCTGTCCACCCTTGCTCGCTCGAGCAAAGGAGTTCTTGCTCAAGCGAAGGCTGCGTCTGTATAAAAACCTGAAAGAGATGAATGTACGCTCAAGCGAAGCCACTAATGGAAAACACGCGTTTTTGGTTCCTCGCTCGAGCGAGAGAAGCTTCGCTCGAGCGAGCCTCGCAATTCCAGATTTCTATAAGTACGGGTTTCTCTCAGAATTTAGGATTACTTCTCCAGATCTTCTTTTTGGATATTAAGGTTTATATCGAACATGCGTTTTTGGATATTAAGGTTTGCCTGAGTATTCAACACACGTTTTTGGTTCCTCGCTCGAGCGAGAGAAGCTTCGCTCGAGCGAGCCTCGCAGTTCCAGATTTCTATAAGTACGTGTTTCTATCAGAATTTAGGATTACTTTTCCAGATCTTCTTTTTGGATATTAAAGTTTATATTTGGGGATATTTTGCTAGTTTTTTTTTATGTTTAATTGAGTATTCAACTCATGGGTTAAGAAGAATACATCAAAGGTTTGTTTGTTCATTCTATACAAAAGAGAGAGTTGTTCTTTGGTGAATTCTGAAGAATTTGAGCCTGAAGCTTTGGTGGATTCTGGAGTGGCTCATCGTCAAGACAATTCCAAGGTGATGACGAGGTTGGAAGAGGCACATAGGGGTTGGTTCAATTCGGACATGGATTCGCTAGGCAATTGAGAGTATACATGTGTAATACCTTTATGTCTTTTTAGTGGATTGTTTTGTGGCTTTTGCCCGTGATTTTTTTATCACAATTGGAGGTGTCCAATTGTGGTTTTTTCACGTAAAATCGTTATGTTAATTTGTCTTGTTTGTTTGATTGTGATTGTTATATATTGCTTAAAATTGATACATAATTACAAATCAACATCTTGGGAATGTCTAGATTTTTCAATTTATTAGCTCTCTAATGTTTTTTAATGGTATGTTTAGATCAGTAATGTAAAAAATTTATGAAAGAAAAAAATGGAACGAGAAAGTTGAAAAAAAAAAAAAAAATTCATCCATTTCTTTTTCTTTTCATAAATTTTTTTTCAAATTTTTTTATCCAAAAGCAATTTAAAAATAATATCTTCATGAATTTAGGCCAACATTTTCACATTTAACACATAAAATGCGAATACGAAACTCGAAGTATATTTATCCAAAAATACAAAAAATAATGAAAAAATAATTCTTACCTTGACATAAAGGTCAACGATTCTGTAAAGGAGGTCGTGATTTGCAGTCAACCGACAATGCATGGACTCGATGACTATTTGAAAATCCTCAGCTCGCACCCTTTTCAAATCTTCGGTACAACTCATAACGCTGTCACCGTCATCCAACAAACTCAACGCTTCAACACATCTGCTGGCGAGAGCCGCCGTCGTCTCCGCCTCCGGCAGCAGCGACAGGCACGATCGGAACACGATCAAAACGTACTCACGGCTGAGCGCCACCGCCCAACAAAAGTACTCCTCCGTCTTCTGCCTCAAGTTCTCGCCGTCGGCGGCGGCGCAGCCTTTAGTCTCCGTCATTTCGAGCAACTCCGCCGCTACTCTGAGAGCAGCGACGTTAAAGGGCGTTATGACGACGTGGAGACCGTAACAGAAGTCGGCTACGAGAGTGAATGTTTCGGCCGTTATGTTTAACAGCGGAGATAGGGTTATTTCGGACAATTTGTCGAGTTGCCGTTTGAGGTAGCCACTCCTTGCTGCTAGAGGATCCTGAATATATATATATATATATATAAATGGCCACTATTTTATATTAATTACAGAAGTTTATCAGTGGTCAAACTTTATTTTCATTTTATTCCCTCTGATTTTAGGTTTAAAAAAGCAAATTTGATTAGATCCGTTTGATTTTTGAGTTAAGCTTGTCTAGCTTGATTTCGAGACCTAAACCTATATATATTTTACAATAAATCCAATTGATATTGAGATACCTTAGTGAACAATGGTCATGTTTGATTCACAATACTAATAGTGAGGTATTAATAATCCTATCAAATTAGTGTGATATTAACTATCCCACCCCTACCCCATTACTAATAATCCTACAAATTTGTTGGATTAATTATCCATTGGATTAATAGTCCTAAACTAAAATGTCAAAACAAACATAGGATGATTGGGCCCACGGATTAATAATCCTAATCCCATGCTTTAATCCTTCCAATCAAACATGCCAAATAAGTACTAAAATGAAAGTTGAAATATAAATATTTTGTATGTAAGATCATATACAACTTAATTACTTTTACATTACATAAGTTTTACAAAAATATTTTCCTGATTTTATTGTGCATATTAGCCTATTGTAATAAGTAAGAATTAATACGGAGTTTTTTTTTTTTATGAACTAGTTAGATAATTAAGCATAAATAGTTTGTAAATAATTTTCACATAATATGACACAGAAGTGAGACAAATGATGAATCTCACATAACCAATTACATTATTAGGTAATTATATACGTAAACCTAATGAAATTACATCCAAATCCTTGCCCCATTTACTAGAAAAATGTTTTATTCATTGGTCAAAAACATTGTACTATTCATAAGTCATATTACAACTTCTAAAAAACATATTACATGAAATTCTAAGTGATTACGGAGCACTACTCTATTGTGTGAACTTGTGAATTCAACTCCTTAAAAAAGAAAAAGAAAAAAAAGAAGTTGATGCCCTTTGTTATTTTCATTTTCCAACTAACATCTAAATTCTATTTAACTCCCATGGATGTATATTGTGTGACAAAAAATAAAATAAAGTGAAAATAGTTGAGAAATTTTATATTTTTATTTTTAAAAGTTGGAGGTTGTAGCTTACTTGTGGCAAAACTTCAGGATATATTTGAATAGTAGGAATCAAAATGAATATCTTATTACTGGGAATCTCATTCCTAATAATTTGATAGTTGATAATCTCATTGAAGTGTTTAGATAATTTAAGTATCTTATATGGGGAAAAAAATTATCTCATTTAAGTGTTTATTTTAACATTTTCAAAATTAAAATCTGAATGTGAGATTACTTAGGAAAGTAGGGTTGAGGGAAATAATTCCTTGGATTGATAAATTAGGAATTACATTTTCAAAAATTTAGCCAAAATCCTTCTATTGAACTCTTGTTTGGTGAAAATGGCAACTTAATTTATTTTGCTTCATAAATCTCTTAAGGAGAAAACACATAATTGAACAAAGACAAAATAAAATATATATTTTTTTCCTTAGACAATATTGTCAGAGTAACATATTACTGTCAAGCAGAATAACTGTCAAACAAAGTAACATGTTACTATGAGATAGAATAACATGTTAATGTTACTATTTACATCAATTTCAACTGTAATATATATATATATTTAAGAATTTCATAATTACCATGGATTTTATTTGATAGATCTTGATGAGAGGATTTTAAAAATACTAATTTTATTAAAAATCGACATTTACATCAAAAGTTATATTGTTTTAAAATTTAATATTTTGATAATAGTGATATGTATTGTACTTTTCAATTTTTTTTTTTATACTTGTCATTCATACATTAAAATATTATGAGTAATGCTAGGTATCCCACACATTCTTCTAATCATTCTACCAAATCTCATATGGGGTGAGACTCACACAAATTCACATGTGTGTAGGTCTCATACCCATGTGAGAGATTTGGTAAAATATTTAGAATCTCTAACATAACTCAAATTTTATTATGAGAGATTTTTGACTAAATCTCCCATACATTTTCATTTCAACCGCATTTTAACAACTGAATCACAGAATTGAGAACTACATTCCCATTCTCTCAAAATTATTGTTTTTCAAACATCACCTTAAATATTTGATTTTCTAGTAAGTACTATAATCAAAATGAAAAGTTTTTTTTTTTTTTTTTAATATTAAAAACTTTCATTTGATATGCATATGCATACCTTTGACCTGTCAAATTTTGACCCTCAATTTATATTTATAGAAAAGCAAGTCATTTTGGTAATTGTTATCTCCCTAGCATAACTTAAATTTTATTATGAGAGGTTTTTGACTAAATCTCCCATACATTTTCATTTCAACCGCATTTTAACAACTGAATCACAGAATTGAGAATCACATTCCCATTCTCTCAAAATTATTGTTTTTCAATCATAACCTTAAATATTTGATTTTATAGTAAGTTACTATAATCAAAATGAAAAGTTTTTTTTTTTTATATTAAAAACTTTCATTTGATATGCATATGCATACCTTTGATCTGTCTAATTTTGACCCTCAATTTATATTTATAGAAAAGCAAGTCATTTTGATAATTGTTATCTCAGGCATAAAAAGAGTTATAAAACCAGCAATTTGCTCACAAATTAATTTTTGTACCCATTAATGAAAAAGATAATTTTTAAATTAAAAAAAAAAACTAAAACTATTTTTTTTTTTTAGTTAAACAAAATTTAATTGTACCTCGGGATTAATATTCATTGATTAAGGAAAAAATATGCGAGTAAAAAAAAATCTGTAACCTACATAGTTGCCCCTAACCAACAATGTTACCATCTCAGAATGAAAAACTCAGAAAAGACCTTGAATTTCACATCAATGGTCTGGATTCACCTAAAGTGTAACTTTCAATATACACATTGATAAACAATTTATGATAATTTTCTGGACATTTTTATGGGGTCACAGCTTTTCTGATAAATAAGCAGCAGGGGAGGAATACAAAAATATAAATCTAGAGACAAATGTTTTTATAATCAATTCAACCAATTTAAGATTTAATTTTACAGGAAACACAACAAAAATTTAGATCAATTACCTTGTGAAGGTAGAAACTTGAGCCGTCAATGTGTATCAAGACATCAGTTTCACATCCCCTGGCCAGCGACCTTATGTCACATTTTTTATAAATAAAAAATATAAAAAATACAAAAAAAATAAATAAATAAATAAATAAAGAAGAAGAAAAGAAAATCAATAGACATAGACTGATATGCAAATAAATAAATAAAATAAAACAAAAAGAAGAGAAGAGAGAGAGATTGGGAAAAAAATTACCATGCTCGTACAGTAGAATGGAGGGGAGTGGGAGGGATAGAGAGGGGAGGAGAGAGAGAAGGGGAGGCGGAGAAGTCCTCAAGATCTTCCTCATAGATGGTGTCCACCACTCCTAAATCTTTCCAACCCCTCAATTTTTCCATGGAATTCTGATTCTGTTTCCCCTGAGAGAACTAGGGTTTTGGAATTGGGTTGAGAAATTCTCTGACTGCTGCTGCTACTGTTAAGCTTTGGTTAATTGTTATTTGTGATTTTAGGTTGGGGTGCATTAATTGCTTGATTGTCAGGAATCATAAATGCTCTTTTCCCTTAAATATCTTTGGAAACCTTTTTGTTGTTAATTTGATAACTGTTATGCAATATATTGAATATGATTTCTTACCCTACTATCCCTTGGATTATTTGGAAAATCTGGTTTAGGATTCTGTCCCTCAAATCAAATTATGGTTTATTAGATTGTATTAAACCCAAATGCTTCGGAGTTCGAGGGTGGAGGCAATTAGATAGCAATTGTTCTTATATCCATTAGAGTGAAGTGTAGACAGGTTACAAAATTAGAGATTCATCGGCACTCTCTTAAGATGAGTTAAAAACCGTTCTAAGTTCTAGTGGCACGGGAACGAGTGACTCATAACTAATGAGAATGAGTTTTGCGATCGTTAGTGCAACTTGAACGATTGAAACTTAGTGTGCTAACATTTTCTTAAAACTAATGTATATTGTATGTCAAAGAATTTGAAGAGTGCATAAGATAGTTTCTCTTCATAATAATTGTGCGTAGATTAGAGATAGAAAGTAGTTAATCGATAGATGAAAATAATTGATTTGTTACGTGATTGTTCGATTGTAATAAGGAAGGGTCGTTATTGCCCAATATATCTTGATCAAATTTCGGTCCATAAAGTAGTGCTCTTAATATTGGTGTTAAAGCAAAAAGGCATATTTTGTCTTATCGATAAAAGACTTTCCTTATTTCTACTGGCATAAAATATATAGTAAATAAATTGACACACTTTAAAAATTCCAAAATAGCAAAAAAAGCCCTCTCTCTATCTCAAAATATGTGAACCACGTATTCCAAGAATCTTGGTGTCAGATAAGTACTTGTCTTTGCCCGTGCTACAGTGGAGTATGATGAAAATTGTTTAAGGGCTCAAAATCGTTGGCTTGAAATTGGTTCGAAACCCAAAACGACGTCGTTTTGGGTTTCCTTTTTTTTTTTCTTTTTTTTTTTTCTCTTTTTCTTCCTTTTCTTGCTTTTTTTTCTTCTTGTTTTTGAACATAGACAGACAAAGGCGAGAGAGAGAAAGGAGAGAAGAGAAGAGAAGAGGAAGAGAGAAGAAGGAGAAAAAATGGGGAGAATGAGGAGGAAGAGAAGAAGACGGTGATGGCGGAGGAGGAAGATCGACGGTGATGACGGTGATCGGAGATTCGGATCTGAATATATATATATATATATATTTTTGGGTGATGATGATGTGTTGATGATGATGATGAAGAAGAAGATGTTGTTGATATATATATATATATATTTAGTGTATCTGATCTGAAGATGTTGATGATGTTGATGAAGATGTTGGCTGTTGATGATGTGTTGATGAAGATGTTGATGTTCTTCTTCTGCTTCCTCTTCTCTTTTCATCTTCAAAACAACAAGAAAGAAAAAAGAAAAGAGAAAAAAAAAAATCCAAAACGACATCATTTTGGATTCGGAACAAATTTGAGCTTGAAAATTTCGGGCCCTGTAACAGCTTTGGGAGTATGATTTGGTACTAGCCTAACCCGTGCTACAGTAGAGAATGACTTGGTACTAACCGATATTTAATATTAGGTATTTGATATTGTTGGCTATTTCTTTTTTTATGTTTTCCGTTGATTGTTCTTGTTGGTGCTTCCTTCTTTGTTCTTTTTCTTTTCTTAATAATGAGTACAAAATAAAAGATATTTGTTTTTTGCTTTTAGGGTTTATTATTTATCCTAAATTTAAATTCTGAGTGCGGTTTCAAATTCATTTTGATGCAAGTGAAAATTTATTTTGTTGCTTTGTAGTTATGATTTGTGATTGCTTTTACCTCCACTATTATTATTTAGCTTCACATTTGAATGCATTGTAAATTAAGGTATAAAAAATATAACTATAATTTATATTATTAGTCTAAATTACTATGCATAATTAAAAATCATTCTTGTCATCCAAATAAAAAAGGATAAATTACACTTTGCTCTATTTATGTTTGGCCATTTTTTTAATTTTGGCCTTTTGGAAGTATTCTTATTCAAAATTAGATACAAAATATCATGTTAACTGTCACATGATAGAAAAAATATATTATTATATTAGAATTTGAATTTGTGTCATAGGAATGAGCTATATATAATAAAGTATTATTATATTACGTGGTTGTTAATGTGTTAATTTCTATCTAATTTTGAATATAAGTTAGTTTTTGGAGTAAATTGAAAAATAAATAAATAATAAAACATGAATAAAAATGTTAGAGATCTCAAAAGATTTATCAAAATTTATACCAAATACCTCATACACAATTTACTGCAAAAGCTATCGTATAAAAGGCCAAAGTAAGGGAAAAAATTAAAGAGTTAAAGTGAGAAAATAACTAAACATAAAGAGTAAGGAAAAAAATTAAAGAGTTAAAGTAAGAAAATAACTAAACATAAAGAGAGTAAAGTATAATTTGTCCAATAAAAAAATACAATTGCCAACCTGTCACTATTAATTAGTAATACTACAAACTTACCCTTATCAACTCAGAAATTATTCAGAATTTTCATCTTGTGATTCAAATTTATTTTAGACATAAATTTCACACTACACAAATTAATCTCCACCACACAATTACCCACCCTAAATTTTCCGAGTAGATTATTGACTGACTATTAAATCCTGTAATTGGGCCCACTTTTGATTTGTGTGTTGTCAAGTCCAACTAATGTGGCCCAAAAATAGCATGTGGGCCGAAACCAATGTGAACTCCTATCATGTTGGGCCAAGACCAACACACAGAAACCCTAGGCAACATAGTTTGTTGAGACGATGCCGTTTGTTGGGAATCCACACTGAAACCAAAAAAAAAAAAAAAAACCACTATAAATACTCCCCAAAAAACCCTAGCTTCGTCCCCTTCCTTCGCTTGCCGTCATCTGAGTTGCAGAGACAGAGAGAGAAGATGAAGTACAATCCTAGGGTTTCGAGCTCCCGCCGCAAGAACAGGAAGGCGCACTTCACAGCCCCGTCGAGCGTCCGCCGCGTCCTGATGAGCTCACCTCTGGCGGCCGATCTCCGATCCAAGTACAACGTCCGATCGATGCCGGTTCGCAAGGACGACGAAGTTCAGGTGGTCAGAGGAACCTACAAGGGCCGCGAAGGCAAGGTCGTGCAGGTCTACCGTAAGAAATGGGTGATTCACATCGAACGCATCACTCGCGAGAAGGTCAATGGATCCACCGTCAACGTTGGAGTCAACCCCTCCAAGGTGGTTATCACCAAGCTCCGCCTCGACAAGGATCGCAAGTCGCTGCTCGATCGCAAGGCCAAGGGCCGCGCCGCCGCCGATAAGGACAAGGGCACCAAGTTCACCGCCGAGGATATCATGCAGAGCGTCGATTGATTTGGATATCTATTTGGTATTTGCTTTTATTGGGTTCGAGTTTCATTATAGATGTCTAGATGATTTTGTTGGAAGTTCGCTATGTTTTGAGTATTTGGATTTCTGAGACTTTGGTTTTTTTTTTTTTGCTCGGCGTTAATGTCGATAGTTATGGAATTGATTTCATACTTAAATCTTGATGCTTTATATTTAAATTCGATATCTATGTCATGTGATTTTGATATTATTATTGTTTTTGCTAAATTTCAGTGAATCTTTATATAGGATTGATAGATGGAAATGCCCTTGTGTTCATGAGCTCAGATTTATGATTATAATCTGTAGTTATGAGAGCAAGACATATGATTTCTGAACATTACTCTGATGGTAGTAGTGATTCCATGACCATGTATGGTTTCTGATATGAAGACTCTGTTATACTTATACATAGAGAAACTATTTCAAGATCCCTTTATGACAGTTTGAATATCAGAAATGGTTGTAGTAGTTCTTATTGAGGTGTTTTGGAAATGGTTGAAGTAGATAAATAAGAGGTTACTATGACTATAGCCCTTGGTAAACTTACCAAGAGGAAAATGATTTATTTGATATTATGGATGACTTGGTTATGGAGTGACCGGTTCATCTTCCTAGGTTAGTATGGTTTAGTGCTCTTTTGTTGTGCCTATTTCGCTCTGTTGGTTTACATGTACGACCTTTATAGGGGGCTGACCGGTTCCTATTTTGAAGTATTCAATTGCTTAACGGCATTGTAGTTGTGAGAAGAGTCTTAAGATTCCTAAGTAATAACTCCATTTATTGCAAGCTAAATTTTTTTACTAGGATGAGTTAGCGTTTTTAAGTTTTGAGATTATTGTTTCATGGTTATTGGCTCTAGTCTTAAAGGGCCTTATTATTAGCTCAAGTTAGGTTTTGATTCATATTTCAACTCCTCGTGTTGCAATTGTTGGGTTTTGATTTTGATGTTCTTGAGTTTTCTGCAGAATTTGTATTGTTTTATATCAAATTTTTGGTATTAACTTCTTTTGTTATTTTCATCCTTTTGTTTGTAGTTTGTGAGTGTTTCAGTCCTGATTTTTTTTTGTCATCATCTCCAAACGAGCCCATTTTTGGCACCCCAAAGTCTGAATTCTCCACCACGCCCCTAGTGGGGGTTGAATCCCTGCCCTGCCATGGGAGAGACCGGGTGATGGCAGCTGCCCAAACAGGTGGTGTGGTTGTCTTGAATTTGAGTGAGATTGTGTGGTAGATGAAATTTCTCTTTTAGGTTATATCCTGCTGCATAAATTGCATGTGCGAGTGATTGCCTTATGGTTGTTCCGTAATTGTTATCACTAAGCAGAGCTGATTTGTGTCTTGTCTAGGTTTTCTTTGAGGCTTACCATTGCTGTTAGACTGTTTTCCCCTTCTGATAATGCTATATGGATTCAGATTCTGATGATACATGTACCATCTTCTATCATGTTTTAATTTGACATGTAGCTCAGGAGCTGATTTGTGTATTGTTATTATTTTCTAGGAACAAGTATATGAATCATTTTTGTCAAAACTGTGTTCTCTCAAAATAAATTGGATGTTGCAGTTCTCTATTCTCTACCTTGGCACCCAATGAATCTCCATCATGGGAAGAGGAAGTGTCAGTTTCTTATATTTTGATGGAGATGTGCTGTAGCAGTTCATATGTTATTGTTAGCATGATCAGCGTACGGTTTTATTTTAATCATATGATCCGATTGTGTTATATATATATATATTGTGTTTTCAAATTATATTTTTTGACTCAATCTATTAAAAAAATAATAATAATAAAATAAAATGTTATATTTTTGGGTACTTCACTTCATTAATTTAATTTAAAATTATATTAAATAAATAACATAATCATGGGGAAGGAGGAATGAAAACATATAATAACTAGAATTTGTTGAATGCCTCAGTTATCTAGCATAAATCTTATTTTTCTTTGATTTGTAATAAGTTTCTGATCATAAAGTTCACTACATAATTACATCATTTTCTCTCTCTCCTTCGTTTGAGTAAATTACATTTTCCCCCTTTTATGTGTGGTCATTTTTCAATTTTGGTCTTTAAAATTTATTTATTTTTATTTTGACCTTTTAAGTTTTTTCAATTTATTTTTAAAATTAATTTTTGTTCAAAATTATATAGAAAATGTTACGATAGTTGTCACATAATATAATAAAATATATTATTATATTAAGATTTGAGTGTGTTAAAGATGTGAGTTATATATATAATGAAATATTTTTATATCATGTGACTATTATATTCAAAAATTATTTTGGGTACAGCACTATTAAATCCCAAAATTAGATCTTTTAAACCATGTAGTCCTGCCTTTTTTTTTTTAATTATTGTTTTTATTTATTATTTTTTTAATAGACTCAAAAGTCCCATTTCAATGGTAATGACCTTGAAGTCCATGAATTCAGTGCGTGGCTAGCATTTGTTAGGGGATAAATGTGGGTTTTAGGTGATGTTGTATTTACCAAATTAACCAAAAGCGTACTATAGTCTTTTTTGGTTTCCTTCAACGCGATCAAAATGGACGAGTCAAAGACGGAAAGTTCTCAATTTGCAATGCTACAATGATGATCCTCACTTCATTTCTTTGCATAGTCGGATTTAGCAATGTTAAATCTTCAATCAATCTTTTGTAATTAACATTTGACATCCCCTTAAATCCTAAAAAAGCGAAAACCCCCTTCCGGTTATACATTGTCATTGTCGATTCGGGCACTGAGTCATTTTGTCCTGCGATTGACGGTAAAGATGTGTCGCCGACGATAGCACATCATCCGTTCGTTCGCGTCGGTGTTCGTGTTGTTGTCCTATGGCGTTAGGTACGTGGGTTTTGATGTTATTATGTATATATGTTTACATTGGAAAAATATTTGGTTAATCCTAATGATTGTTTGATTAACATTATATTTCTCTACGTAATTGGCTTTGATTGTATTATTCGTAATGGTGAAATCTCAATTTCATATTGTTAAGTGTTCGTGGGTTCGAATTTTTCTGAGGGTATGGTCGTGTAGTGTCCATTTTTGTGTGATGTTAGTCTTGTTGCCACCGGAGGTGTCGAGGTGCGTCATCCATTTAAGATACTCTATATTTGGGGTGGTATTGACAAGGATATTTGTGGTGTTTGTCATGATGTTGGTAAGTTTGTGGCAGGGTTTCGAGGTTATTGTGCTTTATTCACATGGTCGTGCCGTTGTGTTGTAATGTGGTTTGGGGTCCCTAGATTTTGAGTGTATTTTGGGTGGTTTTCATTTTCAATGTTAGTGAGATTTGTGGTAGTTAATGTGTGCTGCTGAATAACGTACACATTAAGTAATGTTACCCTAATGTTATGCACACGGTCGGACATTGTTTGTGGTGATTGTTCATATGGTGGTGTGTGTTTGGCATTCCATGCAATGTTGTTAATAGATAATGAGTTTGCTGTGTCGGTGTGATGTAATGTGCTTGTGCTCCCCTTAATTTTTGGGTGTGTGTAGGTTGGGGTAGGTACGTGTGATGTTAATGACAGTAATGTTAGGTGATATGTAATGATTGTGACATCCATGTTTGCAAGTGGTCGACGTAATGGTATGTCGAATGTCTTGGCGTAATTTCTTGAACTATGGTACGTGTGTTTCACTACGGGCGGGGAGGGGGGGGGGGAGTGCATGCGTGTTTACGAATTGTGGGTTGCGCACCTCATAGTGGTGTTAGCGTCTAATTTCGTAATTCCCCGAATGTGACATGTTTATTTTTGGGTAAAGTGTTCTTTCGTTATGATTTGATCATGAATGGTTGACGAATAAACCTCTCGAACACCACGTCTACATGGGAATGTTGGCTTGACATACCATACATGTTTTGGAATTTGTGTCATTTACATACTTATTTATGGTTATATGTGGCACATTGTTGAGTAAATGTTACGAGTTCTATCTCTTTACGATGTTGATACTAGTTGTCATGTATCTATGGTTTTGTATATGGGTGGGAGAAGTGTACTAGTTTTGTATTTAGGATGCTGATTGTGACTAATGTTGTTGTCGTTCAAAATTGGAACACATACATAGCGTGTTATTGTATTAAGGGTGTTTGTGTGCTGTTATACTTGTTTTTTTTTTGTTGGTTGATAAGTGTCTTTGTGGACGTGTGTTTTATATTCCCCGTATCTTAACATGACTAATGTGGTCTAAATGTAGGTCTAGTGGAAGAACACCACGCTCGCAATTATCCGTACAAACGTCCACTAGATTGGCCATGAGAAAAAATGAAAAAATATTTATACGCTTCCACACCCCAAGGACAATAAAATAACATCACTATCACAACCCAAACCTGCCCTTGTAGGTTTAGCGTCGTAACCGGCCAGTAATCCTTGAATTACCCAAGGCCTTTGAATAAAATGACATATGTTAGGGGCTGCGGAAGCAAATATACAAAAATATACATAGTCCATCGAGTTGTGCAGACATATATGGGATAGATAATCTTACATTATACGCATACATATGATGTTATAAAGGTATAGTAGTCATACATCATCCCATGTATATATAAACAGACTTTTTGTTCGTGAGCCAAAAGAAACAAAGTCTTAAATATTTACAAAACATAACCACAAGACTTGACCAATCCGGAACCTTCTCGGAAGATGCAATAGGTGGCTAACAAACACAAAATTCTTCAGGTATTACTTAAGCCTGATCACGAGCCTGCTCACCTACATACATAATAAATAAATAATGAGCGAAAGCCTAGTGAATAATAACAGAGTAAAGGGTTACATGAATGATGTCCCAAAACTAATTCAGAAACCAAAGTTCATATTGAAGACAAATTCGCATTTGTGTTCTTGTTCATAGCATATATAGAAATCAGGGTTTATGCTTAATTGTCCTTAGTACATCCGTTAGTGTTAATAGATCATTTACAGAGCATCATAGATCATACTTGTCAGTTCCATAGAGGAACCTCTAGTTGGGTACGGATAACTTGTCAGTTCCATAAAGGAATCTCCGGACTGAGAACGGATAACTTGTTAGTTCCATAAAGGAACCTCCGAACTGAGAACAGATAACTTTTCAGTTCCATAAAGGAACTTTCGGACTAGGAACGGATAACTTGTCAGTTCCATAAATGAATCTCCAGCCGGGTACAGATAACTTGTCAATTCTATAAGAAAACCTCCAATCCGGGAAC